TCATAGTACATCGTCATCCAAGGGGGAGTGTTAGAAAATGGATGACTTTTTTGTATTCTGAAACGGTAATTCAAATTCTGAAAATCGTTGATGTAACATCCCAAGCGCTGACGAGGGCGGGGAGTGATCGCCGGTGCGAAAGGGCATGGACAAGGAGGGCTCCTGACAGACTTCCAGCGGGGGGGTTACATGCATGAATGAATCAAATCGACACCCGAAAGAGAGGGATTCCAAAGACTGTGCAGGTATGAGACTGCACAGTTTTGGATAGCTTGTAAGAATTAATTTGTACTCTACCTACACTAACAAGATGCATCTGTTTTTCGGTAGCCCGGAACGGAAGAACTCCACAGTTAAACGTGCTTGACTTGGAGCAATTCTGGGATGGTGACCTTCTGGGAAGTTTTCCCAGGAAGTGTGCGAGTGAGGAAAAAGCACACTGAAAAGTCTAGTGTTAGTATGTGGGGATAGTCATTGATTCTTGAAGCGGCCGGGCATTACAAGTGGTATCAGAGAAGGGCCTCTCTTCCAGTACGGTGTGGTTCGAGGAAAAACCAGGCAGAAGCTGGTAGGCATTTAACATCCCAAGCGCTAACGAGGGCGGGGAGTGATCGCCGGTGCAAAAGGGCATGGACAAGGAGCGGTTCCTAACAGGCTTCCAGCGGGGGGTTACATGCGTGAATGAATCAAATCGACACCCAAAAGAGAGAGATTCTAAAGACTGTGCAGGTATGAGACTGCACAGTTTGGGATAACTTATAAGAATTAATTGGTACTACCTATACTAACAAGATGCATCTGCTTTTCGGTAGCCCGGAACGGAAGAACTCCACAGTTAACCGTGCTTGACTTGGAGCAATTCTGGGATGGGTGACCTCTTAGGAAGTTTTCCCAGGAAGTGTGCGAGTGAGGAAAAAGCACATTGAAAAGTCTAGTGTTAGTATGTGGGGATAGTCATTGATTCTTGAAGCGGCCGGGCGTTACATTTTATGGTATCAGAACAGTTTTGAAAAAGGAATTCCTTGATGTATTGCAATAATTGTGTTGTTCATGAGTGGCTTTTAGGGTTTTTCTATGATAATGCATATGTGACCACTTAGTGTGAGCCTGATCAACTCATTCCTTCGTGTAACATGTGCAGAGTCATGGTACTTCCTAGAAAGTCTCAGGCGACATCTGATGGACAGCTAGATATCTTGTTGGCTGATTTGGTTAGGAACCGAAGTAACCCTGAGGTATCTAATGCTAATGTTAGTCAGGATCCAGTTGTTGCTTTGGTGGGTGTGCAACAGGAGTTGGCTATTAATAGGCAAACTAATGAGACTTCAGTGAAGATAAATTAAGACATTATTGCTGCCAACCAGTTATTGACGAATCAGATGATGGCTGAGTTGAGAGCCATGAGAGATGGCAGAGCGAAAAACCAGCCCCCACCGCCTTCACCACCACTGCCACTACCAGGGGGTGCCGGGGTTGTAAATGTCGATGGTAATGCTGAGGGTGAAGCTAGCCATCATACTCCTAGTACTGGTAATGCTGGTCATACTCGACACACTGATGTGCAGCAGCCACATGTGGACCCAAATGGTGAATCTGAGCGTAAGGATAGATAGTTGAATGCTTTTAGGAAGCATCAACCACCTACTTTTGATGGGAGTTATGACCCTGTTGCTATTGCTGCTGCTGCTTAGCTTTAGGACTTAGAGAGGATTTTTCGAGTGATGGAGTGTGATGATCACACGAAACTATTATATGTCATCTACATGCTGAAGGGTGATACTATAGATTGGGAAAGGATGGAGGATGAGTATGGTGATCTTGTGCGGGGAGACATGTTTGTTGATGAATATTTAACCAAGTTCAATCAGTTGGCTAAGTATGCTCATTTCAGTCGGGCTATGCCGGATTCAGAGTCATTGGCTGCCAAATTTCAAAAGGGCCTTAATGATAGAATTGCCGAGAGTCTAGTTGGTTGTGGTTCTAAAAATTTCCACACTCTGATTAACCAATGTCGTGCTGTTGAGGATCTTCATAAAAGGCAGAGAACAAGAATGCTAAAGAGTTTGATCCTAGAAAAGCAAATGGCTCTACTTCTTTGATGAATAAAGAAAGTAAAGATTTACAAGTTAAATAATTTGATAACAAGTTTAAGAAGAGAGACAATCAAGGAGGGAGTGATAAAAGTGAATTTCCGCTACTTAAATGTCTTCACTTAGTGATAAGGACTAAGGACGATTGCTGGATCTGTGTTCTACTTAGGATGAAAGTTGAATGAAATACTTTCCAGGCGAAATCACTTGAAGAGTTGTTTAGTGGGTGGATAATTTTGGTGCGCATTATTAGTATAAGCATAAATGCTTTTAAATACCATAAGAGGAATGTTGTATAATAGCCTTTGGCACAATATTGTTATTCCATTATTTGTGTCCATCCTAGATTATGTGGTGACATGTGCTAGGCACAAAGTAAGAAAATGGAATTGGATTCCATTGTAGACTTAATCATTAAGTACAGTAAGGTACTGTCTGTACTAGAGACTATAAAAGTCAATCCAAAGACGAACGAATGCACTACTTGGGGAAACAATGGTTTGTGATCCTAAGTTGTATCTTATATGGTATGAGATAGGACTGTTGAAGGTTAAGATTTTTGGTGTATATATGACTGTATGTGGCATTATTATACCAGTTATTGGAGCAGGTAGAGGCACGAGTGCCTGTGTGTGCTTATTTTGTTTTGACTGCAAGAGTGAAATCGTTTGTTCTTGGATCGAGAACGTAAGTTCGAACACTTACTCATGTGATAAACTACTAGAGATAGCTAAGAGATCGACTCCTTGTGGAAATGGTTCAATGATGAGTGAACGATCCTGTGATTGAATTTGTAAGCTTGTACCAATTGATGGTAGGATACCAGAATGGTATTTAACTTGGACAATGAGTGTTTTAAAAGGATCAAATGAGTTGTAAGTATACAAGTTATATCAGTGCCTCGAGTTGGGGGTCGAGTGCACACAATATAATCACTCAATACAAAGGATAATGTCAATCCAGTCAGAGGTATGAAAATTAAAAGACTTGCAAGATGAGTCTAATCAGTGTTCCTTGTGTGTAAGGATTAGGTGGATAGACCTAGTGTAATATTTATTGAAAGAAATATGTGATAGTGCCACCTATGGATATTCCTTTGAGGGTGTGCTAGCCTGGGGAATGACCTGGTTGCATAGGTATTCTCGAGATGGCTGCAGGCCTGGGGAATGACCTGGTTGCATGGGTATTCTTATGATGGCGCAGAAACCTGGGGGAATGGCTTGGTGGTATGACAAATCTTGTAACAGCTAAAGGCCTGATGATGTGCTTGATTGAGACTGATCTACTTGCAGGTATAATCAATTGAAAGTGAGTTGATTGAGTGAGCTTATTGGCTATAGGAAAATGTTATTACATGGAATATCCCTGGAGGGGATGTGTCCGAAGAGGTTGCCTCTTAGGAGTTTCATTTAGACACTCGTCCGAGTTGAGACTCATTGAGTTGTCTTTTTGTACGAAGTACACAGAAGGCTAGTGTGCCTGTTAGTTCCTTGGCTAATAATCTGTGGCATGGGCTTCCCTTTGGGGATTGTAACCTAAGAGGTGTGGCTCTTGGAAATTCCATGTGGATACTGCTTTGAGTTGAGACTTATCAGGTGGTCCTGATGTGCCGAGTGCACAGTGCAATCAATTCTTGGTTGCATGATGATAAGATGTTGGATTGATAAACAAGATTTAAGTCTTTCCAATTTGAGGTTATATTCTAAAACCACCAAGAGGTGGAATAAGTAAGAAATGGTATATGTGATTATTGAATGATGCATTCTTATATATGTATGTTATGTGGTGTATTACACACAAGATGGTAATCTCTGAGTGGAGTGTGGAGCTGCACAAGATGGTAATCCCTGAGTATGGGTATAAGGTAAATGCCTTATGCTTCTTATGCATGTAGCAGATGTGCGTAAATCATGCGTTCTATGGTCGGTAGACTTGTTAGCACACATACATGATATATATATATATATATATATATTTATATATATATATATATATATATATATATATATATGTTGTTGCATCATCTGGACTTTTACTGCTTAAAAGAATTGATTTTTTTGAGTAAGACTCGTAAAGGTGCCAATATCGAAAGAGAATTGGTAGTATATATATAAATTAAGATAGAAACAATGAGTCCAGTCGCATATGTATAATTTGCATGCGAATTATGAGACATGTAAATAAGGATTTGGGTATAAAAAAATGACATTGCAAAGTTTGTTGAGAAGTGTCTAATCTGTCAGAAAGTTAAGATTGAACACCAGAAACCTGGTGGTTTGCTTCAACCTCTGGATATTCCGGTATGGAAGCGAGATTGCATTTCCATGGATTTTGTTGTTGGGTTGCCCAAGACTCAGGATGGATATGATTTTATATGGGTTATTGTTGATATACTTACGAAGTCTGCCCATTTTCTGCCAGTGAAGGTGACTTTTACTACAAAGCAGTTGGCTCGACTCTATTTGAAGAAGATTGTGAGACTTCATGGGGTGCCTAAGAGCATTGTGAACGATCGGGACCCGAAGTTCACATCTCGCTTATGGGGAGCATTGCAGCAGGCTTTCGGCACTCAGTTGAGACTGAGCACGGCTTATCATCCTCAGACTGATGGTCAGATAGAGAAGACTATTCAGACCCTCGAGGATATGCTGAGAGCTTGTGCCTTGGAGCAGGGTAAGGCATGGGATAGATACCTTCCACTGGTAGAGTTCTCGTATAATAATAGTTTTCATTCCAGTTTGGGCATGGCACCTTATGAGGCTTTGTATGGCTGGCAGTGTAGATCACCTACTTGTTGGACTGAGGTTGGAAAGGGGCAATTGATTAGACCAGATTTGGTACATGACACTTCTAATCAGATCATAATGATCTGAGATAAATTAAAGGCACAGAGTTGCCATAAGAGCTATTATGATCACAAGCATCGACCTCTGGAGTTTGCACATTGTCTTTGTGAGGTTGTCACCTGTGATAGGTGTGGGGCGTGCTCTTAGAGTAAGGAAGCTGAGTCTCAGGTTTATCGGTCCCTATCAGATAATAAAAAGGGTGGGACCGGTGGCTTATCAGCTTGCATTGCCTCCACAATTATCTAGTATTCATGATGTATTCCACGTGTCTCAACTTCAGAGATATATTCGGGATGAATCCCATGTTGTACAGCCTGACGAGGTTCAGATAGGGGAGGATCTTAATTCTCCCGTGGGGCCGTGGAAAATTCTTGGTAGAGATGAAAGGAAATTGAGAAATAAGATAATCCCTACGATAAAGATTCAATGGGAAGGCAAGACGCCTGAGGAGGCTGCTTGATAGCGTGAGGATGAGATCCTCCGGCTATCCTGAGCTGTTTCCAAGTATGATCCTATTTTGCGATCAAAATCCTAAAAAGGTGGGGTGAGTATAATAACCCTCAAATTGTAGTTGTGGATTTAATATTGAAGAATAATTATAAGGAAAGAAAAAGAAATAAAGTCACCTTTGGTGAAAAAGGACTTAAAATGACAGTTGAGGGGTAAAAATGTGGGTAATCAAAGTTACCCAAAAAGTGAAAGTAAAGTTAGAAACATAACTAGAAAAATATTCTAGGCTATTGGATAAAGTTTGGTAATGAATGGAGGTGAGTAGATAGATAAGCTTATACCCCTGGTATAGTAAATTGATTTAAGTGACTAAGGAGTCACTGTTCCCCTCCGTCTTTGTAAGAACCTGCACCATTAATTAAGGAATTTAATTAATTAATATGAGAAAATAGGAAATTATTCCATAATTGACCCTAATATTTATTATAAGGCTTAAATAAATATAGTAAGTGATTTATAATGGTGAAAGTCGCTTTTCGGAAGAAAAGTGCAGATACCGGTTCTGCTAGTCGGTATAAATGCATACCGAAAAAGTATCCCGGAAAATTATAATAAGTGCATGAATATTCTTAGAATAATATATAGGACTTGTAAAACGAGTTTCAAGTTAAAATAATGTGAACTGATGCCATAACTGATACTGGCTATGGAAAAGCGCGTACCGGAAAGGTACTCCGAAAAATATAATAAAAATATGTTAATTCTTGTAAAATTGAGTAGGTTAAGAATCCTGAGTTTAGGATTAAAATACTAAGCGTAGCAATTAAAGTTAATACTGTCTGTTTTATTGTAAAATGGCTATATATACTCTCTTTAAGGGCACAAAACCCTAGGTGCCACTCTCTTCTACGTGGGTTTTCTTTGGTGGCTGACCAGAAATACTGTTTCATTGCCATTTTCATCATTTTGAGGCCAGGTGGTCATCTTGTGCTTGTTTCTTCATGAAACCTTCTCCCTAAACACTTGTCCTTGAGTGAGTAAGTCTTGTGAGGTTAAAAGGCACCATTTTTTTGAGTGTCCAGCCACTGTGGTGAGGTGTTGAGAGGCTGAGTTGGAGTGTTGCTTGGTGTGAGCCTTTGTTCATGCCATTGGAGGGTCCAAGTAGCCATCTTTGAGTGGAAAGGCCCAAACTTGTGCTGCATTTTTGTGCTTGGACCAAGTCAGAACCTTGGAGGTTACAAGTGAGCTCCAAGAGCACCTTCTTGCTCTGTTTTGAGCTTGTGGTATGATCACCAACCTTGAACTTGAGTTTTTATGCTTAAAAATGGAACCTTGATGCATGTAAAGGTTAAAAGATGATAACTTAACGTTGGGTAATGTCAAACACATCTAGAAATGCATGTTTAGGTGTCTTTAATCGGTAAAAACCCAATCTTGGAAGGATATTTCCCGATCATGCAGAAACTGCTTTATGTCGTGAAATATCTGAATATCTGGTCGTGAAATATCCGGATATTGGATATCTGGATATGGGGATCAGGATATTCGGATATTGGTATCCGAATATGGGGTTTCTGATATCCGAATATGGATATCCGGATATTATATCCGGATATACATATCCATATATGGTATCCGGATATGGCATATCCGGATATGTCCCCGAGGAATATTCGGATATTCTGGGATTTTGTAGAACAGTAGCTGTGCTGTGTGTACAAAAGGCTATTGGGGGTTTGTGGACCCTAGATTGATGAAGTTGAACTTCTGTAATTAATGAACTAAGTCAGAATCATGTGATTAAAGGCTTATGGCTTTGTGGGAACCCCTAAGACGTAAAACGTAAAAGGAAAATGTAGTCTTTATGTTAATGCTTTGAGCTATGTATGTTGATATGCTTGCTGGTCCTAAATCAGATTGTGATCTGCTGTGTGTTGGACTTGAGTTGTGAGGACTCTTGGCATTGGATAGTGAGCTTGCAAGGTAAGCTTTCGTGTCCTCGATTTAGCCATGTTGTGGTTCCACTATGTCCCATGGGGGAATGGTTATATGCATGTTGTGTTACATGCTTTTGCTGTTTTGGAAATGCTATTGAGCTGTTATATGCTAGTGCCTTTTTGATATGCATGTGGTGTTCCACCTATACGGTAAGCCTGAGTATGTGGTACATACAATATGGTGAGGCCGTGGGTGAGGTGCAAGCGGTGTTCCTTGTATTACATGTAGGAGATAGACGTATTCCTGCATTTCTCTGGCCAGTAGAATAATATCAACACACATGTCATGAATATCTGTTGCACTACATAGTTTTGAGAACTTATATTGTTGAACTGCTTTTGAACTTATATTGCACATATAAGTGAGCTTGGGGTGGAAGATCCTTGAGGACCCCTTGTCCTACTGAGATTTCTGTTTAGAGATCTCACCCCACGTTTGAGGCACTTATTTCAGGTTCAGGTAATGTTGGGGTTGAGACCTCAGGCTGCAGGAGGCCGGAGCTGAGTTAGATTTGCTGTTATATTATGCTGACTTGTTGGATGCTGGATATGCATGCTGCTTTTATGCTTTTAGCCTCATTTTACGTTTATGAATTATCTTGTTGAGACGCTATTGATTTGGTGAGCATGGGGATTGTCCATGACACATAGACTTGTTTTTGTCTTGTTTTATTTGGAGTTGTAATAATGTATCAGGATATTGTCCGGATTACGTGATGTAATGTTGTGACTTAGAGACTCACTTTATATTTTTATATTGAGGTATTTCAGTAGATGTCTTATTGCAAATTTACATTCAGGCGATATTTTTGGAATTGATTAAGTAATCAACTTGGCTAAGTATAATGACGTCATAATTGAAAAGAAAAAGATTATTCCGCAATTTTAATTAAGCGTAGCTTAATACGATGTAATGATAACATTACCGGATATATACGGGGTGTTACATTTTATGGTATCAGAGCAAAGGTTCAAGGGAAAAGCCTGTATTTATTGCAATGATTAGGATCTTTGGTTGTGTCTATCTTGTGTGTTTTCTCTGTTGGAGTTTATTATGATGATGCATTTGTGATCACATTGTGTGGGCCTGATCAACTCATAATTTGTGTAACTTGTGCAGAGTCATGGTAGGACCCAGGAGAACACGAGAGACTGATGAGGGTCGACCTGATCCTATCCTGGCTGCATTGGCTGAAATGCAGGCGGCCCGACAAGCCGACCAAGAGGCCATGAGAATGGCAAACCAGGCCATGCTGGACGCCGTCAGAGAGGCGAACAGGAAGGCCACTGAGGACGTGTTGGAAGCCAACCGTATGGCGAACATGACGATGTTTAGAGTCATGTTGGAGGAGTTGAGGGTTGGACCTGCTGTTGGCCAGTTCCCTCCGCCAATACCTCCACCACCATCGCCTCCACCTCCACCCAGTCTGCAGGACGACTCTCAGAGTCAGATGGGTGATGGCAGTCACCTTGCAGGGGCCATGCAGACCGTCCCTGTATTTGCTGAGCATCGAGATAAGATCGATCGTCGGTTGAATGCTTTCCGTAAGCATAAGCCACCTACCTTTGATGGATCTTATGATCCTGTTGCTGCGGCGCGATGGCTTCAGGCGCTGGATAAAATCTTTCGGGTCATGCAGTGCACAGATCCGCAAAAGCTGATGTTCGCTACCTATATGCTGGAGGGGATGCCCATGAGTGGTGGACGAACACTTCTCATGTCTACGAGATGTAGGGTCATGTGATGACGTGGCCACTATTCGAGGATTTCTTTTTGGGTCAGTACTTCCCTTATGATGCACAAGAGAGGAAACAAGGGGAGTTTGACAGGTTGGTTCAGGGCTCGTTGTCTGTTGACAAGTACCTGGCCAAGTTCAACCAGTTGGTGAAGTTTGCGTACTTCAGGATGGCGAGGCCTACTCCTACATTCTTGGCTGCTAAGTTCCGCAGGGGACTTAGTGAGGATATTGCTGGTTACCTAGCTGGTTCTGCTTCGATAGACTTTGGGACACTTGTTCAGCAGTGTCGTGATATTGAGGACTTCTACGACTCGAGTAAGGCCAAGAAGGCCAAGGTTGCTGAGGCGACGAAGGCTGTAGCTAGTAGTTCCACTTCTTGGAGAGACAAGAAGTTTGGGAACAAGGGCAAGGGAAAACAGATGGCAGCTCGGCAGGCGCCGAACCGGTTCAAGAGGACTTCTGCTCAGGGGAGTGCAGCGAGACCTCCTGCTCCCAGGTGTTCGGGATGCGGGAAGACTCATTTTGGGCCGTGTTCCACCGGTTAGTTGATTTGTTTCCAGTGTGGAAAGGAGGGCCACTTCTCCAGAGACTGTCCGTCGGCGACGGCGAGGGCTACTGCAGTGCAGGCAGTGCCACTTCTGATGGTTCCCCTTCCACCTACTTCGGCACTGGTAGTGCCACCGTCTTCTAGGCATGTTTATACCCTGGATCGTCAGCAGTCAGATCGAGCTCCAAACCTTGTCAGAGGTACTGTTACAATTGGTGCATCATCTGTTGATGTTTTGTTTGACTCTGGGGCTACGCATTCTTTTGTTGCTACCCCGATTGTTGTGGGGCTTGAGTTGCCCATTGATGTGCTTTCTCCACCGTTGCGAGTTACCACCGCCACCGGAGAAAAGTGTGATGCTACCACTGTTCATCGCGATGTAGCATTTCAGTGGGATGGTCGTGAGTTCTCGGTAGATCTGATAGGATTGCCGATGGCCAACTTGGAGGTTATTCTGGGCATGGTTTGGTTGTCCAGAAATTGTGTGATGATTGACTGTTGTGCCAAGCGTGTGGTGTTGTCTCCGTGTGATTCCACAGCCAGTTCCTCGCCGTACATTTCGTTGCTGCAGGCTAGGAGAGCCTTGAGAGCAGGGGCATTTGGTTATGTCATGTTGGGAGGTTTGGTGAGTGGAGCACAGAAGGATATCACCGGAGTTCCTGTGATGAGGGAATTCCTCGAGGTGTTTCCTGAGGAGATTCCTGAGTTTCCGCCACAGAGGGAGATA